AAGTGTAGGTGTTGGATAATTAGTCTAGTGCTGTTCAGCTCACCCAGATCAAATGAAAGTATGAAGTACTTGTGAAGATCAGTCAGGATAGCTGTAGGCCACTAGAATATTATCTGTGCTTCCTTATTTAATAATTGAAAATATTCCTCTATAAGTATCTGTTCTTAGAAATAACTAATCCTTTCTCAATTACCTATGACTGCCTAGTACTCTTTCCCATTGTGTACAGTTCAAATTAGACTATAAATATTTTAGGTTTGGAAATGCAGTTTTTAATACATATATGACAGTCTCTGATACTGCACTGGCAGTGCTGGGTGCCAATGTCTATGTACCATCTATAAGGTACTACTGACATACCTTTGACTGTAAATAAAAAAAAGAATCTACTATTTAATATTCACACAATTTGTGATTTTGACTAAAAGATACAAAAACCTGGATTTTTTTTTTTTTTGATATTTTAAACAGTGTGAAATCTCTCAATAGTTCCTTTATGACACATAATGCTTTAGCAATATCCCATAATAGGTTTGAATACTTAGTAGGTAATTTCTAAACCAAAGCTTCCATATTGACAATTAAAACAGGCAGTGCATGCTGTAGTTATCTGGGTGTAAGCCTCTTTGCTTGAGTAACCAAACAAATTTGTGAATGGCTTATCTTGAGAATCTGGCTTTAAAGAGCAATTACAGCCTCTGTTGTGCCTTGGTGAGACAAGGCCGTTCCTTCAGCTACCCCAGCAATGCCTGTGGTCAAACTACACATTGCTGCAGTGTTCTGTAGGAATGCCTAGCCTTGTTTGAGTCTGAATGGATGTGAAATGGATGCCTTCTGTCCCTGGTGCAGGGTGACGCTGGTGTCACTGGCAGGAAGATCATCGTGGACACGTACGGCGGCTGGGGAGCGCACGGCGGCGGGGCCTTCTCTGGCAAAGACTACACCAAGGTGGACAGGTCGGCCGCCTACGCTGCCCGCTGGGTGGCCAAGTCCCTGGTGAAAGCTGGGCTCTGCCGCCGTGTTCTGGTTCAGGTATGGTTTGCTAAGGGTGTTGCTTCTCCTTTTTAGATTTTCTTTGCTTTTCTGTGCCCATGGTATGAGCCGCTGTAGTAGAAGTGGTGTTGCTGATGGTTTTTTGGAGAAAGGAAGACTTGATGCTTGGTTCAAGCCCATTGTAATGTCACTAAGAATCAGCTGGCTTCTTAAAACTGGAACTTTGCATTTAGCTTTTTGGCTATTTTTCCGGATATTTGTTGAGCCCTCAACACTCTGACACTCACTGGCATTGAAATGAGCATGAAGTGACTGGATAATGGGGGAGAAAGTAGTCCAGAGGCCTTAGCATTTTCAAAGTTTTCTCTTCTTTGTTTCTACAAATACAGATTGTGTAAATGTGAGAGGTGAGGGAGAGGCCTTAGTTTTCATAAGATGATTCATAAATTAATGCTTTCACTGCTGCCCACTGTTGCCCCGAGGTGCTGTGTTTATTGGCTGACTAAGGTACCTTTTCCCCACAGGTTTCTTATGCCATTGGGGTTGCTCATCCACTGTCTATTTCACTGTTCACTTACGGAACTTCCCAAAAAACAGAGAAAGAGCTGCTGGACATTGTGCACAAAAACTTTGATCTTCGGCCTGGAGTCATTGTCAGGTAAAGAAACACACAGAAAGGAAAATATCCCAGTAGTTGCACCCAAGAAATTATTTCTTGCAAAATCTTCAGCTGTTTCTGAAGGTTTGGCCTTCTATAGTATATGGAAGTCAAATAAAACAACTCTTTCATTCCAAGAACTTTAAGTTACTTTGCTCTTATAAAAAGGTATCGTTTGGTTTACCAAAGGAATTTAAGGTTGTTTCATCTTTTCCATTACAATTAATAATTCTTAATAATAAGGCCTTTTCCTGTAGCCCTAAGGTAAAGACATTACAGAAATTTAAGTAGTGTTGTCACTTTAAGTGTCTCCATTGAACATGTTCATTGATATGCTTGCATCCCCAGAATATGCTTGCTTCTGTAAGGGGGTGGGATGGATATCAACATCAGGATTTTAATAGTAATTATCATGAAGTATCTTAACATGAATTTTTTTTTTCCTTCTTTTTATTATACAAACAGGGATCTGGATTTGAAAAAGCCCATTTACCAGAAGACTGCATGTTATGGTCACTTTGGAAGACAGGAATTCTCATGGGAAGTGCCTAAGAAACTTGTGTTTTGACATTAGTGACATGTCACCTTTTAAAACCAGAAAGGAAGACCACTAATGATGAGGATGCTTCTGAAAATCAAATTTGACAGCTTTATATTCAACAGAAGGAATTTTAGATTTTAAGAGCAAAGAAAGAAAAAGTTATTTTCTTGGAAATTGATTTTTTGTAACCCTCATTGTCTTTCATTATCTAAGATATAATGGACAGAGTCTGTTTTTTTAATCAGCATAAGACAGCAAAATACAGTTTACTTTTAACTGCTGCTCTGTTAGTTCTTTGGATAAAGACAAAGTGTGACTCAGGTACTAAAACCAAAAGCTGTACCTCAAACCTTTGATGGGCAAAGGTGAAGATAACTTTCCCAACTCTGACTAAGGATCAGCAGATCTGTTGCTTCTGATTAGACAATGGGAAATTCTGGGGTCCAATTTCCTTACTGGAGTTAGCAATGCATACAGCTGGGGGCTGCTTTGATGGGAGAAGGCTGAATAGTACCTAACAGTATCTTTGCCTCTTTTATAAAAGATGTTAACATATGTGTAATATTTAAATCACCTTCAGTGCATATGTGCTCCTACTGTCACGTTTCAATTACTTCTGTTTTTGAAACACAAGTGCTCTCCTATGACACAACAATCATAGAATAAAAAGCTTTTTCCTACCCTCTACGTAAAGGTGTATCTTTTTCTATGTTTTTTTTTTTTTTTTTAATGCTGCTGTAAAATGGTCCATCTCAACTCAGCTGCTTCTAGTTTACCAAAATAATTAAATTTGATTTTGAAATTGTTATATGCATTTCCCTGTTAAGACGTGTATGATCACTCTTTAGTCCCTGTGACTAACAGAAATTCAGTGAATAAGCATTAGATTTTTATTTGTAACTCTTAGGTTTGTGCTATACAGTATTTTTTAATCATTTTTGTTCCCAAGCATCAGGGTTATTGCACGCCTTTCTATGTTGGATATAGACTGGGAATAAAATATAGCTGAAAGAAAGAACTTTAAAACTTCACCAGACAAAGGTTACATTTGGAGCAGTGTCCCCTGGAGGGCTGGCACCGGCTCGGGGCGTGTGCCCAGCTGTGGAGTGGGGCTGTGCCGGCACTGGGTGGCTGCAGGGCTGCTCCCATAGCTGCATTGCTGCTCCCATGGCTGCAGGGCTGCTCCCATAGCTGCATTGCTGCTCCCGATGGCTGCAGGGCTGCTCCCGGTGCCCGGTGTTCCTGCCCACAGGTCATGGTCACTGCTGCAGGTGGCCGGGACATGGCCAAGACTGAGGACAAGGAGGTCTCTGTGCCCATGTGCTGTATTGTCCTCCACGGTGGCAAACTACTCTTTGCAAATGCCTGAGTTAGGCACAGATTTGTTTAAACTGGGAGGGTGTGAGACCACGTTTATCTTCTCTAATAGTTTTGTTTGTCAGTAGGCAACCACTTAACCCTCCAATTCAAGGGTTGCCTGTGTATGGCCCCCAAAAGGGACTTAATGCTTTTAGCCAGCGTTCTGATTAATCTGCGCTGGAGAAGTGCTGCCACCCCGTGTTTATCTCCTAAATAAATGTCTTCATACAGCGCCGCCCGAAAACATGCGGTGGTGGAAAGAAAGTGCCTGTGATGAACATTAAAGAAAAAGCTGCCATTTCTTCCTTTCAAGTATGTCATAAACACAGTTTCTATCTAGTCAAGCCAGAGGTCTCTCCACTTTTATTAATTATGCTAATGTGCTCTGTGTAAGTTGAGATAAACAGGTTTATGTGTACCTTCTGATCTCTCAAGGACTTGCCACATTAATCAGTGGGCCTCGTTGGGTACCCACCTGGGTACATTTTGGCAGAAAAATATCTTAAAGACCACCTGCATCTTAGAGAATGAGTTGGCAAAGATTTCCCAGGGACTGCTTTCCTAGCTGCATATTGTTTATCTTCCAAGGAATATGGAATATGTGTGTGTCAGCCTCAGAAAGGTAAGCTGTTTGGAGCTCCAGGTCATAATGTGGTACACTACAACCAGCAGAAGCAAGTGAATTAAAAATTAATAAAACCAAATTAATAAAAAATAAAATTAAAATAATTTATAATTAATTAAGAAAGAAATAAATGTGCTAATAAATGTGCTTCATAACACTGCAAATAGAAATGTCTGTGCTCCACAAAAAGAAACACCTGCAGACAAAAGGAACAGTTCTGCTCAGGTGGTGACAATAACAACCATTAAAGGTTTGTTGGAGAGGAGAGGGGTGTGTGTGTGCCCAGCTGGCCGGCAGGAAGGTGAGGCTGGCCCGAGGCTTGGCAGTGAGTGCAGATGTGTGACAGGCTGTGACTCTGAGCCCTGCATTGCGCACATGGGTCAGGCACCCCTCGGACAATTGGATTAATCTGTTAGTAAATGTGCAGAGTAGAAAAGGTGGAACTTTTGTGGCAACTTTGCTACCTCTTCAGCTCTTCCCATAAATGGATTTAAGCACGTGAGGTTCATGGCTTCATCAAAAAAAAAAAAAAAAATTAGCAAAACTTTGGATGCTACAGGACACAGACCATAACCCATTGATTCAAATCTGTTGTCATTTGATGTTCTGAGCTATTATTATAAGGCATGATTATGTCTTCTTTATCAAAGTGTATGTGTGTGTGTGTGTGTGTGTGAGAGAGGCAAACACAGACAGATGGGAAGGTGGTGAGAGAGCCAGAGCATGCAAGAATGTGCACACACTAAACATGTTTACAGTAAAGCCGTTAATCTGAAAATTTCCTGGTGGAGCTGGCAGCCAGGCTGCCTCACTGCCCTGACGAGAACATGCCCCTGCCCTCCCCCAGAGCGTTCTGGCAAGCTCTCCTTGGGCTTCCCGGCAAGTGGGGCAATGTGTGCCTCCCCTAATCCCTGACCACAGCACTGCTGAGGAGTGAGGCACAGGGTGAACAGCCAGCCACCACACACGCAGCTCTGTGCCTGACTGCAGGGCTTCTGCTCTTAGGCACCACAAGCAGCAAGTAATTACCTGTGATCTCCTGCAGACAGAAATGTTCGGCCTCTGCCTCCCCTGGAAAACACTGATTGTTCTAAGTTTAGCGATTCTTCTTGCAGGTAAGATGTTCTTGAATATGACTAACAATTATTTAAATAGGGCTGTCTTAGAGAAATGAAGGGCCTGCTAGGGAACCCAGCCCTGAGTGGCCCTGAACAGGTGCTCACATTGCTGTTTCCAACAAATGAGTATTTGTACAGATTATTCAGATTTGAACCCTGATCACCTCAGGTGTACAAGCTGGTACTCGGACTGTGGGGTAGGATAGAAGCAGGATAGAAGGACACTTCCTCTGCACAAGTGGTATTTGTTCATGTGTCAGGAGGGACTATGATCTAGCTAAGTACCTGCTTCTGCTTGCCTTTTAGATTTTACTGAAATCAGGGCTGCTGCCGATCAAAGTGAATGCAAAAGTGCAACCATAGATGATGTGAACGGGAGTCTCAAGGTAAGAGGCTGGCTGACCCAGGGTCTGTTCTGCACCCACCTCCTGTGCTGGTGGGCTCCTCCTGTGTCTGCCTGCGCTGGCTGGGCAAGCACAACTCGTGTACTGCTTTGGCAATGTACAAAGTACGTGCTGGGGAGGGGAGCCACACGCAAGAGCAGAAAAACATTAGTGTCATCTGACTTACCACAACTTTGGTCCTGCTGCTGCTAGTCCAAAAACTGTCCTTGTAGATATATTTTCCAGTTTGGCCCTGCTCCAAATATGTAAAGTGGCTTGAATATAAGCAGTATAATGAGATAAATAACAGTAGCTACTTAGAAATACATGACCTTCTTTATTTACATATGTTCACAGATAGGTTAATTCTAACGCTCCAAAGTCTTTCCTTTTCAACTTAGACTTTTTCTCCCCTATCTCCACAGAAATATTCAGAATGCTTGCCTGAAATTATTGCCGAGGGTGAAAAAACTTCAATCAATTTCCTGGCCTGGACACTGCAAGAAACTCTTGATCTGCTGCGCCCTGTTCAGGAGCAATGTGAGGCCCCTCCTGAACCAACCCTCCCCTTTGCTGGGCGTTGAACAAAGTGGCAGAGGAGAAGCACAAAGGGAATTTTTTCTACTACAGAATGAACCAAGTGTCTGCATTTCTTCAGGGGAGGAGAGGCAAAATATAAAAGATGTCTCAGTAACAGGGAGCACTGGGACTGGGGAGGCACAGCAGCACAAACAGGGGGTCCTGCTGTCCCTGCAGCCCAGCACTGGCGCTGAGCAGCAGCACAGTCACAGGGCCAGCAGGGCCTGCTCTGCCCTCCAGCCACAGCCTCTGTGCTGCCTTGGAGCTGCCATGCCAGTCATATTTTTCCAAGAAATATTTGGATAGTTTTGGCCACTGAATGTCAGTGCTGCGAATGCCACAGTGAGCTGCTTCTAAAGTGTAACTGGGGCTGACCCTGCAGTCTCAGTGACAAGTGAGGGGAAAATTCTGTGGGTGTGGCCAAAAAAAAAAAAAAAAAACCAGTTAAAAAAAAAAAAAAAAGTGGGGGGATGAAAAAGTTTTAAACAACCAAAAATGCGTGCTTTGATGATGTCAGTGGCTGGAGACAGGTCAATGAATTTGCCTGGGAAGGGGAAGCTTTTATACCCACTTTCACTCTGATATACTGTTTTCTTGCTCTCTTCTCTTTTTATCCACCCAAAAGTTTGCAAGCAGCTGCCTCCATGCCCACGCCCAGTGCCCCCAAAAAACGGGGGGCTGGTGTGTGTGACCATTGACAACACTCAGTACTGCAAACCCATGTGCAACAAGGTAACATTCCTGCCTTATATATGGCTGCAACTTTTCCTTCCCTTACAAATGCTTATTTGGTAAAGCCTAATTTTGCTTGCTGTACTTTTTTAATATCCCTCAGGGCTGGGAGAGGTTGTAGTGTTTGTATTTACCTGCCCTGTTTCTTCCTCTTGCAGCTACCATGACGTACCCTAAGACAGTGCTTGTTTATTTTCTCCCTCCCAAGGGCTATGACTTCCAGTTCCTCAGGAGAAGCAGGCTGTATGAAATGTGTGGCAATGCCACGGGCTTTTCCTGGACCACGCAGCTTGTCGGGGAGAAGGCACTGGCAGTCTGCAACCGTGAGTGCTTCTCAGATATATCTGTTCATGGGGACACAAGGCTGCCTCTCCTTTGTTCAAAAAAATAGGAGGAAAGAAAAATTTCTCTTTTCATGACAGCCTTGTCATGTGTGACATTGTGAGAGCCAGTGCTGAGCTGAGAAACTGATGAGCAAGGAAACACATTAGCTTTAATACTCTCATGAAGACACTGCTCTTTCATCTTGGGGTACCAAATAAGGCATTTATGCAAATTTTTGTGGGAAGATGGACCTGTTTTTAAAAAAAAACCCCAGTAAATTGGTATCACCCTGACACAAACCCCGTGTTGCACAAGGGTTGTGTGACCCACTGGACAGATAGCAATAGGACATAAAAATGTTTATATTGCAGTAATAGTTGAATAATCTCAGCAAATTGGCCAACACCTGTATGTACACACAATAAAAGCCAGCAGCTGGGCCCCAGCCAGCAGTGCTGCCATCTTCATGGCAGCCCAAGGACAGTAAGACTGCTCCCATTGTGTCCATTGCTCAATCTGTGACCCAAAGCAGGCTGTATGACTCTGTTGTTATTGCCTTAATTTAAAAATGAGTGTGCATATAGATGCACAAAAAGGCCACCCTATCTCTCCTATGCTTAATAGAAAATATTTTACTGTTGGCAGTGCCTAGTTGCTAGAGCAGTTGCTGGCTGTTTTCCAAGGCTTAATAAAAGCAAGCAATCATCTGGGCACTTTTATTCCAAGTTGGAGACTTTAGTTTAAAAAATTAGAATGCCAGCGCACGTTCAAAGATCAGGACAAAGCTAAGCTAAGGAGAATTCAGCTGCTTCTTTATTTATTTATTTATTTATTAACTTTTTGTCATCTTTGATCTTTTCCAGCCTCCGAGGTGGCCGTCAGTGGAGCTAAATCTGCCTATTTCCCCAGCAACAGCACCTGTGTGCGCACTCTGGCCTTCCCTGAGGCTCAGGCAGAGCAGCTGAACATCTTCCTCCAGGAGATTGGCGAGCGCGGCATCGACGGCTCCGGCCGGGACCAGGGGGCTGACTGTGTCACCTGTGGCTACTAGCGGCAGCCTGAGCACAGCCCAGCCTCTGGCTGCGCCTGGGCAGCACAGGCAGAGCATTGGAATCACAGCTAGCACGTGTGAACACAGGTCTGGAGATCACAGTCATGACCTCAGCCTTGGGGAACGGATATAGAGGGTAAATCTAATCCCGCAGCTCGTGGCAGGGGAGTTTCAAAGAAAGAAGATCACTTTTATGGCTTTAATTTGTCTAGCTGGAATTAAATAAGATCTACAGTTTTTAATGGATGCCCTCCTATTGGCTTAACTTCTTCAGGCTCTCTGCAGATAATATAACTGATTGTTGTCAGAAATTGTCCTGTGTCAGGGGTCTTCTTTACTGAGAAAGGGCCGTACTCCTGTCACTTTTACAGCTGCCAGTTAATCACTAGCATTGCTCTGATGACCATTAAAGCTGTGTAAGTGGCAACAGCTCCTGGCTGTAGAGGTATAAGACTTTATTCACTTGCTTGCTTGATTGGGGCTTAGAACAGCAGCAGAAAACCTGTCCATTGTCCACCTGGCACTAAGTGAAAGTGAAGATCAAAGGCAATTTAGCACTTGTGATCCAGCTTATTTGTGGAGCTGTAGCTACCAAACAATGTGCATGTGATTTATTGTGAAATATAAACAAGAAATTTAGTTGCTGCTTGCTTGGTTTTCAGTGGAATCTGTGCTTGAGGTAATATTTTAATTTTCTTCTGTTGAGCAAACAGTGAAGCTGTAGATCTGAAGACAGACAGCTAATCTGTTTGTGTTTCCTTTCCCTTTTCTACCTTTTCCCTATTTCTGTTGAGCTCTCAGACATAGACTGCATAGTTTTGTGGTACATGATATAAAATTGACCTTTACCTCATTAATCAGATAAATCATTCAAATATATATATTTACAGACATATTTCAGGCTCAGAATCGAGTCATTACAAGCAAAAAACCCCATAAATAACCCCAGCTGCTTTAGGGCCCAGAAGCAGACAGTCATATGACAATGAGTGGAACAGATAATTACATCAGAAAAGGGATGAGTTGGCTGCTTTGGCTGCTTATAAACCATGTGGCAATAAATTAAGTCATTTTGTTGCAGACAAAAGTGTTCCAGTCTTAAAGAAAAATAATGAGTTTTGAATCACTGGGTTTTGTTTCTATCTATTTATTTATTTATTTATGGCAAACAAATGATCCCTATCAAATGAAATTATAATGTTTTTCAGTCTTTCCAGCCAAATCATTATCAACCAATGCTCATGTAAAATAGCTGGAGTAGTTTGCAGTATAATTTTTATACTGGTGCTAAACCCCATTTTTTCTCTCAATTTTGTTAATCTATTCTACTGACTTTTCAGACCAACCAACAAAAGAAAAGAAAAGTTACTCGTATTTTTTTTCATGAGGAAATGAAGCCTGTAAACTAGCAGAAACTTTCATTTGTGGGTCTTAAATCCTCATAGTGAGTGTCACACAGTGTGGAAGAATTAGGCTGCAAAGCTTTAATTATCATCTGTTACGAACCTTATATTAAACTGGAGATTGCTGGGGTGTTGCTGGGGTGTTTTATCAGAAACTTGCAGAGAAGTTTTGTTCTATTCCCACCACCTGAGTTCTTATGTATCTATAAGAGAGGGAGTTGACTCAATAAGCCAATATGACACAGTTAAAAACTAAAGTGAATTTAATCCTGTTATTTCCCAGAGTACATTTGCATAATTTCATTCATGTAAATGGTTGCTGTGTGTTTGCATTATCTTCTTGTTGGTGTCTGGCCTCTCTGAGCATAGGACCATTCCTCGTGCTCCTGCTCTGCTCCCAGGATTGGGTTTGTTCTGCCACTAGGGGGTTGAGGAGAGAGGAAAATTCATATAGAAGGAAAGAATTTAAGAATATTTTAAACCATTAAGATTCCAGATCAAACAACAGAAGCAGGGGAGGCTTATTTCTTGAAACAATATCCGAAATTTTATTATTTATTTTTAGGTTTTGCAATACAACCAGACTAAACCACTGCCTCCCTGCAAGCTTTGGATAAATCCACCTGCATAAGTGTCAGTCAGCTAAAGGCTTCGGTAATATTCACCTATAGAGAGGGAGGCTTTCCTGATTTTAATTAAGGGAATAGAGTGCTTCTCTTTCAATCCATTATAACACAAGAGAAGAGCCCAGAGCAGCAATTACAACCCAGCCAAAACACGGAAGGCGAAGTGCCGAGAGCTGTGCTCACGGCGACACAACCACACACGCTCTCTTTTCACAGGAACTTCGCAGCAGCAGACTGGCAGACCCACTGTTTTTGGGTGGGTCACAGGCAGTGAGAGGGACCCTGAGAGATGCTCTCAGTGTGACCATCCTGCCAGGGCACTGGTGGGAGCAGGGCTGGCTCACACGGAGCCCTGCAGCGAGATCTGCGGCACACGCCTCATCCTCCAGACCACCACGGCAGCGGGGGGCAGCAGCATCAGCAAACTCATCACCAGCACCGCAGCAAAAATGACCAGCAGGATTTCCCATGGGGCCAGGATTGTTTCCACCATCGTCTCCTCCATGTCCAGAGTCTCTGAAGCTGTAAAGCAAAATATATGCTGCGTTATTTACTTCCAAACAGGAATTATGTCTGAATAGATAGGTTTGCTTCAGCCAGCATAGGGGTGTCAGCTCTTTGGCCTATTCCTTTCTCAGCCCAAAAAATAAACCCACTTCCTGGGCTGCAGACCCCAGAACAGCTCCTGCTCTTTCTCTCTCTGTGTGTGCCCTCAGGAGCCTCTATAGATCATCAGCCTGCCTTTCTCCCTTGGCTCAGTGCAGTTGTTGATGCTGGTGTAAGACACCCTGTCCACCCTAAAGCACTGTCCCTAACCCTTGGGTAAGACTGTCTCTTTAGAATTTTGATTTTTAAGGCTCTCCTCTCCTACTTAGAGCATCATTACACAAAATGACTGCTATACTGACATGTATCAAAGCTAAAGCTGAAAAGAGAAGAACATGATGGAAAGGAGAACTGGAAATTGAACAGCCATCAGAATGCATATTTTATCTTTTTCCATGTACAAGGCTTCAGAAAGAGCAGGGTGCTTAGGAAGGAGTTAATTTGTGTTGATTCTGCTAAGTGTCAACAGATGTGTCCTAGGGAATGCGGTGTTCAGTGCAATTCCTGCCACAGGACCTACACACCTGACAGTCACCAGGAGGGCAAGTCCTCTTCCTGGACTCACACACGTGAAAGCTGTACAGTGAATAAATGAGGTGCCAGGGCCTGAAGAGGTTTTTTTTTCTCCCCAGTCCCTTGTGCCAGTAGTGAGGAGCTTTTCTGAGGGGCTGCAGTGCTGCCTTTGCTGTGGGAATTGGGACTACAACTCACCAGAGGAGGTCTCAGGTTTGTCCAAGCATGTGCTTTACTGTGTTTTTACTGTGTTGTTACTAAATCCTCACCTTTATGTGAAGGTGAAGATGGAAACTGGGTTGATAGAGTATTTATGTCTAAGCAGAGTAGAAAATTTGAATAATTTCCAGCAATTGTGTACATGACAGTGTTAAAACTGCCATTAGCTCATTTTTTGTGTTACCAGTATATGTCTAGTAACAAATCTTGTTGGATTCAGGCCATGATATCCTGCAGGAAACCTAGCTATCCATCAGCAGAGTCCTGATGGAGATCTCCTTGGCTGCTGTGTTGCGTTCTAGTTGGATTGATCTTAAATCTTACAAGCACAGAAAAAGCACAGAGGATGCAGCTGGAGCTCCCTGGAGCACTCAGCTGCTCTCTTCTTAGCAGTGAAGCCACATACCTGTGGCAGGAGGGTGGCTGGAGCTGGAATGCTGCCCACCAGGCTCATTCCCTGAAGAGGGCTGTGCTCTGTGGCTGTTTTCTACAGAGCAGCTGCTTGATTTTGTGTGTGTTTATGTGCTCTGACCTCTGGCCCTGCTGTGTGATAGTCTCACCTTTCCTGTGACAACCTTTTCCTGCCTGCTCTAGTGGATGTAATCTTTGCTAGGTTAAAAGACAGTTCCTTTTCTCTGCTAATTTTGTTTCCCCCGCCCCCTCGAAATTACACATGAATATTTTGATTTTAGAGAACTACCAGTAGGGAAAACCTTACAAAACCCCCAGATATATTTATCCCACTATTGCATCTGGGTAGGGGGAATTGCACTTCCTCAATGTGCAATGAAGACAAATGCAGAAGGTAGCAACGCTGTAGGAAAAAAAAAAAAAAAGAAAAAGGCTTATTTGCAGTCTACAGAAATGGTGTGAAGGTTCAAGACAACCCCCTCTGAATCTTAGAGAACTTTAGTTATGGTAACTTGAGAAGTTCCCTTGAGCAAGATGCCTGTGGGAGGTGGTGGCCTCCCAGTCTGTAACTTGCTCTCGCTTGAGTTTTTTTTGAAAATGTATTGCATAGGGCTAAAAGAGGAACTGGTATCTGAAATAGCATGTATTTATATAATTTATTGGCCTCCAAACTACAGAATTATTGGCTATCATATGATAATTTTTACTTTGTGCCTTGAAAGTCACAGACCTAGTACTACTGGCTGAACTCTGAGGACAGAAAAAAAAGTTTTAAAAACTTTGGCAGCCCAGTGAAATTGTAAATGCAGCCACCAAATGGCAGAAGGGATTGAAGTCTGCAAGATCTGTTTTATATCAGCGAATATTTATACTTTCTTTTGTTTCTAGGAAGATATTCTGATTAGTAGCTAGAGCACTTAATGTCAGTCAAAGACTTGTCTTTGTGAAATCAAGTGACAGGGCTCAGTTCTTGCTTTGGTGGAGATGAATACAGTCAGATTGGATAAAAAACCACAATCAGTAGTACAAAGCAATGTAAAATTTGTATAAAATACAAAACAATATATCTGAACTATTAAAGATTATTAGTGATATCTTTATATAAGTTTTAATTGTATAAAAATTGTAACTAGATTCTGCTATAAATTATATCAGATAAAACCACATGGACTATACTGAAATTCCAGAATCTTCTACAAACAGGTGTAGAAGATAGGTGTTTATGTGGGGAAGGGTTTTATTGTCTGCACCTGAGAGCTGCTCAGTCACACACACAGATGGGCTCCCAGTGGCTTCAGCACTTCCCACCGTGCAGGGGTGTGACCACTCTGCTCCCAGGCACACACTTATTCTAAAGGAAGAACAAGCTGAAAGGGGTAAACCAACAACAACAACGAACTTGTTCTGCTTCATTTTCCACTCAGTGATATAAATATTTGCCCTTCAAGTGGGGAAAACAAGTGCTCCTGGGTGCTTGTTCTCTGAGTGAGCTTCCTGTTAGCACTCCAAGATCATTCCCCATGGCTGCTTTCCGAGAGGTCACTGCTGCTGCAGCGTGCCTGGCAACCCTGTGCCACGGCAGGAGGGTGAGTTATTCCTCTGCCACCCCCCTGACTGTGCGCTGCAAACAGAGGAAGCAATGGGAAAAA